GCTTCCAGTTTGTGTTCGGGCGGCAGACACCCTATCCGTTTTTAAGAGTGCGCTTAAGACCTTCCTTTTTGATAAAGCTTATAGTTAGGGCTGATTAGATTCAGCCCCTAGTTTTGCTGATATAGGCTTAGTTTGTCGGGGGACATCTTACTTCTTCCTTCTCTCTGTCTATACCTGTGTACTCTCATGTTCCGATTAACCCAGCTTCCCCAAATGTCTTTCTTTTTGGTGTCTGTATACGCCGGGATCCGGAGTCATGGATGATCCTGCGCTCCTCTGTCCTGAATCTTGAGTCGTGGCTGTGGTCCTGGATCATAGGTCCTGGATGGATATCCTTGTGGATTCATCTTCCTATTATACACACATGCATTTCCAAACATTTGGACTACCTATGTTGCAAATGTATTATCTTTTCAATTTACACACGGCATCTATTGCACGTCTGTCTGTCCTGGGAGAGGGATCCCTCCTCTGTTGCTCTCCCTGAGGTTTCTCCCATTTTTCCCTTTAAACTGTGGGTTTTCTTCGGACGTTTTTCCTTGTACGATGTGAGGGTCTAAGGACAGAGGGTGTCGTATTGTCATACTGATATTTTGTACAAACTGTAAAGTCCACTGAGACAAATGTAACATTTGTGATATTGGGCTATATAAATAAACATTGATTGATTGATTGATTGATTATTATACTGACAGGTATCAGATCTTGCTGTGTAAAATAATCTTCCTGAGAGGTGTCACTTGTGATGTAGTCTGCGTGGTCTACAGTGAATGTATTCCTGACAGCCACAGGTGATAATAATCAAAGGTTCCCATAGGATTCCATAGAAAATGCATGCGGGTCATTTTTTACCCACTGTTACGTTCCCAATTGGCTAGGGGGAACAAAAGGGAAACGACACGACCAGAGTAGTATTGGTATAATTATAGGTGATTTATTTGTAATAGCAGCGGTAAACAAAATGGCAGGCAGGCAGCCTGAAACAAACAAAAGGGCCAAAAGGGCACAGGTTGACAGATAACCAAACTAAGGGAGGACTCAAAAGGAGTCTAAAGGCATACAGGGAAAATAAATACTAATATACTAAATAAAGAACGAAACAAAACCTCACTTCAAGAGTGGTACAACTAACAAAGGGAGTCTACACAAAACACACAGCTAAACTAAAGGCAACAGTCACAAATCCTAACGATACTCTAAACACTAACTAACCTATTCTACACTCTACTAACACACAATATCACACGGAGATAAACACACAAGCTTAACCACAGCATGAAGAGCAAAATGCGAGAGGCGTCTGTTCACTCAACAGAGCCTCCAGAGTGATGATTGTCCCCAGCTTTGTAGTCCTCTCCAGCAGGTGTGCGCTGGGCTTGCACAGGGATTGGAGAACGTCGCCCGGCATGCTCCAATCAGTGTCCTCGGAAGTGGACCAGGAGATGACAGCCAATGATGCCGGGGCAACAGCACAGCTCATTTGCATAATCATACACACAGCTGAAAACACTCAGGCAGATTAGTGGGCAGACAAACAGCAACCGTAACACCCACTTATTGAAGCTTAGGGTAGTAATACAAAAACTACAACTTCTTAAAATGTACACAATTAAAATTAAAATGTTGAATAACAATCAACATCGGCACCTCTGTTGTTTCCCCGACTCAGACTGCAAGGAGTCTGGGTGTGATCCTAGATAACAACCTGTCCTTCAGTGCAAACATAGCTGCTACAACCCGCTGCTGCAGATACACGCTTTACAACATCAGGAAGATACGTCCCCAACTGACCCAGAAAGCGACGCAGGTTCTGGTCCAGGCTCTCGTCATCTCACGCCTAGACTACTGCAACTCCCTCCTGGCTGGTCTACCTGCATCTGCCATCCGACCTCTGCAGCTCATCCAGAATGCAGCGGCTCGTCTGGTCTTCAACCTTCCTAAATTCTCCCACACCACGCCGCTCCTCCGCTCCCTTCACTGGCTTCCGGTAACTGCTAGAATCCACTTCAAGACACTGGTACTTGCGTACCATGCTGCGAATGGATCTGGCCCTTCCTACATCCAGGACATGGTTAACCTGTACACCCCAGCATGTGCACTCCGCTTTGCATCAGCCACACGGCTCGCTGCACCCTCACTGCGAGGGGGACCCAAGTTCCCATCAGCAAAAACACGTGGGTTTGCTATCCTGGCTCCAAAATGGTGGAATGAGCTCCCCATTGACATCAGGACAGCAGATAGCTTACACACCTTCCGGCACAGACTGAAAACTCATCTCTTTCGACTCCACTTCGAGCGATAGAACTATTAACAAAGCACTTATATACTAATAAAGGACTGGCTTATCTAAAGCCAGTTGAGTAGCACTTGAAATGTTTTTACTCTATGAAGCCTGATATACTTATATGATTCTGTTTTCTTCAAGGTTGTATTTTGTTGGTCGAACGCACTTATTGTAAGTCGCTTTGGATAAAAGCGTCAGCTAAATGCAATAAATGGCATGATATCCAAAACATTTTTTTTGAGGAATAGTTGGAATATGAAATGATAAAAAAATGTAATTACAAAGACACTTCACCTCACCGGGTCAAAAAGACCCACTTATGCATCTAAGGGTTAAGGAAGCTTGCGAAACCCAAATAAATTATTCACATGGAAAAACAGTTACAAGCTGCCATCTAAAGTACAAATGTAAAAGGGTCAGAGATAAAAAAATTAATAAAAAAACTTTAAAAGTATTCTGACCTGGACCTCTTTGTGCCCGTCTATTTGTTCTTTCATTAGCTGGTGATTTGGCATACTCTCTCATCTCCATGTTTCTCATAGTGACAGTCTTCAACCACAGCTACATAAAGCTCTTTGTAAATGTGTGAATGTATCCGTTTTTATAGCTTTTGTGGTGTGTGTGTGTGTGTGTGTGTGTGTGTGTGTGTGTGTGTGTGTGTGTGTGTGTGTGTGTGTGTGGAGCAACAGATAAACAAATAAGTGCTATCTTATAAAAGCATCCTCCCGTTTCTTGTAAGTTCTCTTGCTTTAGGTGAAACGCCCTGGAATTTTTTTTACCCTGACAAGCGCTAAACACTAATTTCACACACAGGACACAGGATGATAAGCATTACATTTGTTCGAAGTTAACATAAACATTATACATCTTGCTTTTCCGTTCCTCTTTACTGCTGGTTCCTTTGTGGAATTATTCCCTTTCCATTGACCTTGTATCTTAATTTGTTGACGACAAAGAGACTCCCTCATTCACCTTTGTCATATAGTGTTAGCTGTTGGCCATCAATCTTTCGTTTATTTGTAAATATCATGTAGCATGCATGACTTGCTTTCTGGCATTTTGAATCCCCAGTTATATGACCACCTCTCCACTTTTTAATCGCTCTAGCTATATTCTCCATTACGTATGGGGCATTTCTTCCCCTCATCCAAATAGCCCCATCATCTGCGTATAGAACCGATTGGATGCATGTGTCTAAGCATGTAAATATCTCATTAATCATGATGTTAAATAATATTGGACTGACTGCACTCCCTTGGGGAATACCATTTTCTATTTCAAAATAATTGGAAATATCTGCTCCAACCTTTACTCTAAATGTCCTGTCTGTTAAAAAGGCCCTTACCCAATTGTGCATTCTCCCTCCAATACCCATTTTACTCAATTTGATCAGTAACCCATCCCTCCACATAGTCGTACGCCTTTTCAATGTCCAAGTACACTATTGCCATTATCTCTTTCATTTTCAATGTTTTTCCCACATCATTACTCACTCTTACTAATTCCACATCCAGAGCTGACCTATTATCCTGTCTCTTCTCCTTCACGTTTTCATTCTCTGCTAGTAACTGCTGTTTTTGCTGCCTATGAATATCACTGAGATGCTCCCCACTATGTACTGCTGCAAGTGTCCTTCCTAACATATCTGCCTTCTCTTTATCTGTCACTGCCAGCCTCTCCCCATCAACCGAAGCTGGAATTGTAATGGATTTCTTTTTCCCACTCATCTGCTTTAACATGAACCAGACATCACCTAATGTTACTCCTCTGCCAATGGTAGAACACAATTCTCTCCATGTTCTCTTTTTTGTATATTTTATTGTCCTTCGAGCAGCTGCCCTTTTCCTTTGAAACTCTAGAACATTATTTTGTGTCATGTTTTTCTTTAATTCTCTAAATGCATTATTTCGCTCTTTAATAGCCCTGCGGCATTCCTCATTCCACCATGGCACCACTTTCTTCCTACCCTTGGTTGTTGTTTTGGGTATACTGTTCTCTGCTGCATTTAGTATATGTTGCGTTATTTGGCTTGTAATGACCTCTATGCTTCCCTCTGATGTTAGCAGGTGTACCGACTCCTCACACCATATCCTACATTTCCCCCAATCAGCTTTAGCAAAGCACCACCTGGTTATTAAACCTCCTTCCTGCATATATACATTATTATTCATTTTAGTAAGCACTGGATAATGGTCACTTCCTACAGTGGAGGTATTCAAAACAAACCATTCGCATGTATGAACCAAACAGTTTGACACTAATGTCAGATCCAGGCATGAGACTTTCCCCCTGAGTACATCTATTCTTGTGCCATGTCCATCATTAAGGCATACTAGTGTTCTTTCCTCCAGCATTTCTTCCACTATATTTCCGTTACTGTCTGTATGGTTGCTGCCCCATAGACTGTTGTGTGCATTGAAATCACCACACCAAACTTCCTTCCTATGTTTACTGCCTGCTATTTCTTTAAATATATCAGTGGTTAGATTTGGACATGGGTTGTATAAATTGATTATCCTAATGTTATCTTGTTTTCTAGGGTTGCAGATTTCCACAATAATACAGTCTATATCATCAGGAGATTGCACCTCCCTATATGCCACACCATCTTTGAGAAATGGCTGCAGGATCTCAGGTATGCAAAGTGGACAGGTAGGCGAGAAAGGCTTTTTTGAGTCTCAGAGACCAAGGTCCTGTACACTTCGCATACATTGACTGCACGACTTCAGGTCTGCGATGTGGACAGTACACCTCAAATACATCACTACACAACCTGTGATATTTGAAAATAAGGGAATGACATGTTTATAATATGCTGCAAAACACAACAAATATGCAGGGTTGCAAGTCTATTTCTAAGGCCATTTTATTTTTGGTAGTCTGATCATTTCAACAAGAGAATAGAATCAAACTGAAAACATGTTCTAGATTCATGAAGCAGATTAATGAACAGTGAAACTCGCTCATGGACTTTAAGGTGAATACTTAAGAAAAAGTTTTCCCACACTATTTGTAGGAGCCATTTTATGGGTGTTGTTAGTGTCTCAGTTTACCTTATTTATATGTATAGCGCAACATTATTTTGAACACTTGGTGGCGGGGTTTAGCTGCACCGGGTGTATAAAAGGGGTCATAGGTGACAGGAGAGGAAGAGGACACAAGGCAAGGCAAGGCAAGTTTATTTATATCGCACCTTTAAACACAAGGCAATTCAAGGTGCTTTACAAAAAAGAAAGACTTTCAGACAAAGGTATTTAAAAACAGTAAAAGATAATAAAAGAAACATTAAAAGAAAAAATACATGAATAAAAAAGTACATGAATAAAAAAGTTACAGTGCAGTTTAAGATATGAATAGTTCACACAGAAGTTCCACTTTACTGACACAGGAGGAAGAGCATACCGATTCTACCAGACGGCCAGCCCAGCCAGCCCCGGCAGATGCTCATACTACAACTATTGACACAGTGTACTTTAACCTTGGTATGTAAAGCAATAAAACATCATTCTAAAACTGCAGCAAAAGACTGGAACTTCATATGTTTGTGTCTGCGTCAGGATCACACTAAACCCTCCTGTGAAGTAATGGCATAAAGATATAGGACACAGGAACATTTAAATTGCCATTACATTAAATAGAATCGTACTCTATGAGTGAAACTGAACAATATAAGAAACATATCGCATTAGATTAAGGATCGTTTTCACCGGACAAACAATTGGATTACTTCACAACTGACACAGTCATCCCGGATCAGCTGGACAACAGGCCACCTTCAGCTGGAGATTGTCACCACCTTCGCTCATCAAGACAGCGAAAGGAGACGCCGAGAACCAAGGCTGGGAAAGCGGCCGGGTATGTGCGGCACTAAAACTGGATTGCATATTGGATACATAAACTGTATTGGACAATGGCTTGGATTTAATGCTGCAATAATGTCAGCTGTTTGAATCAGTGCCCTGTCAGCAGATGGACAGCCAGAGAACGAAACTTAAAAGGAACAGTGAACATTATGCCTGTCAATTCTGATGTTACGTCAACAGATGGCGCTGTTGGGATGGGATCAGTAATGGAAAAAAGGATCACCCAATGCATGGCCAATAGATGGGAGTTGTTTATTGTAAAAAACAAAATAAGCTTAAATCAGGGCCCTACACTCTTAAAACCACTACGGTTTTTCTCCTGTGTGAACACGAAGATGTGATTTGAGATGACCTGATTGAGTGAAAGTTGTCCCACACTCTTCACACCAGTACGGTTTTTCTCACATGTGAATACGGTGATGTAATTTGAGAGCATCTGATCTAGAGAAAGTTGTCCCACACTCTTCACAGCTATACTGTTTTTCTCCCTTGTGAATACGTTGATGTGATTTGAGAATATCTGATCTAGAGAAAGTTTTCCCACACTCTTCACACCAGTACGGTTTTTCTCCAGTGTGAATACGGTGATGTGATTCTAGAGCACCTGATGTAGTGAAAGCTTTCCCACACTCTTCACAGCTGTAAGGTTTTTCTCCAGTGTGAATACGGTGATGTAATTTGAGAGCACCTGATGTAGTGAAAGTTTTCCCACACTCTTCACAGCTGTAAGGTTTTTCTCCAGCATGAATACGTTGATGTGATTTGAGAGCACTTGATTGAGTGAAAGATTTCCCACACTCTTCACAGCTGTAAGGTTTTTCTCCAGTATGAATACGGTGATGTGATTTGAGATGACTTGATTGAGTGAAAGTTGTCCCACACTCTTCACACCTGTAAGGTTTTGCTCCAGTATGAATAAGTTGATGTGATTTGAGATTAGCTGATGTAGTGAAAGTTGTCCCACACTCTTCACACCTGTAAGGTTTTTCTCCCGTGTGTATACGTTGATGTCTTTTGAGATGACCTGATTGAGTGAAAGTTGTCCCACACTCTTCACACCTGTAAGGTTTTCTCCCGTGTGTATACGTTGATGTGATTTGAGAGCACCTGATGTAGTGAAAGTTGTCCCACACTCTTCACACCTGTAAGGTTTTTCTCCCGTGTGAATACGGTGATGTGATTTGAGATGAGCTGATGTAGTGAAAGCTTTCCCACACTCTTCACACCCGTACGGTTTTTCTCCGGTGTGAATATGCAGGTGGATCTTTAAATCTCCAGATGTTGAAAAAGATTTGTCACATTGCTGACAGCTGTGAAGTCTCTTTCTTCCTTTCAGTTTCTAGAACAGACGGA